CAGCCATGCTGGCTGAGGAATTCTGGGAGTTGAAGTCCACCCATCTTAAAGTGGCCAAGGTGGAAAAACACTAATATACCTTTGGAGAATCCAAAATTGTGAAGGAACACAAGCCTTCTCCCTCTGCGTCTAGGTTTAAGAGAGAAGGGTATTAGACAGATCCTAACAGTGCACGCTTAGCTTCACACATTGCAGAGAACTCTAATGTGGTCTGGTTTTGGCTTCGCATGTTGTGGGAATATCCACCCTTGTCGCTCGTAAACCATGGCCAGTGGCTTAGTGTGGTGTGGCTTATTCAACAAACCCTGATTAAATGGTGGTTTAAGAGGCGGGGTGGATGTAATGCCTTTCAATCCCTGCAGAGGGAGCCGCGAGGCAAAAAATACCACTGCACAGAATCTTTTCAGACCCCAAAGAAAAAATAAAGCATATGGAGAAAACGAGTGATGCTTCAGATGTGGCCTTTTTCCCTTCTCCAAAGGGAAGTTGGGGGAGTTTTTTGGTCCTACGAGTGGAGGGAAAGTTAAGAGCCCCCCACAACGTTGTCTGAACCCTCTCTGGAAAAATTTGTGAGCGGCTGCATGATGAAGATGGGCAGGCGTCACGTTAACGATGGGTCTTGTAGTCCTGAGAAAGTGGCTCGCGCTGCTTTTGTGGGATGAGGGAGGCTGGAGGAAGTGGGAATGTTTGGAGCCGAGTGACTCGACCAGTTCACGGGGGTACGCGGGCAATTTTCTGGGCAGAGGGACAGAAAGGATGCATCGCTACAGCTTTTCCCCTGCCTCGCCTGCAACTCTGAGATTTTCCGAGGGTCTCCAGCCAGCCCTAAGTGGGCTGAGTTTCCTCGGGGCCAGCTCAGTGCTGCCCCCTGCTGTCACGAAAAACAGCTGAATTCCTTCTATCTATCTATCTGTCCGTCCATCCATCCATCTATATCTCAAGGCTGGAGGTAAGAATGATTTGCCCCCACCAGAAATGTATGCCTATGCACGGAGGCTGCCCCCTTTCCGAAGACCCCAAGGAACCCCCCTTGATTCCCACCACTATTTAGTGTGCCGAGTCAGAGGACAGCCTGCCCAACCCGGTGCCCTGCTCCAGCCTATGAGGTTTCCTGGTGGTCTCCCATCCCGGTTCTAACCACACTCCGCTTTGCCTGGCTCCTCAAGATCAGCCAGCTGAACGAAACTGCCTTGAATCAAATTCAACTTCCGGGAACTTCCCAGATGCCTGAAGACAATCAACCTCTTGATATCAGGAGTTTTTAATTCTTCGTCTTTAGCTACCAGGTTGGGGAATTAATCCATTCTATTTAGCATTCTTCGCCAGACAAGATCTCTCTCTCTAGCACAATGTTTTTCAACCTCGGCAACTTTAAGAGGGGTGGACTTCAATTCCCAGAATT